ATCAAAGGGGGGAAAAATGTGATTTAAAACAATGTCCATTTCTTTTAAAGGAGAACTATGGGGCGAGTGAAAATCACCCATCCTCATAGTTCTAGCCGACCTGTGACAATGAGACTGTCACAGGTCGGCTCAGTAGATCGGGAGGTGAGCGAACACATACCGGGCTCGCTCACCTCTCGATCCTGTCCCTGCAGAGAGCGGTGAGTGTCACTCATGGCTCCCTGCAGGGATTACCCCCCTCCCCTGTCCTATCCTCCAGCGCTTGACTGGCAGGACGGATGGAGGAGGGGGGGCGGGTACAGCTGGCTCTGCCTCTAGATAGGCAGAGCCGGCAGTCAGTCACGCAGCTGGGTGGATCCAGACATCAATGTCGGGATCCCTTTCAGCTGCGGCGTCTCAGTATACTGCGAGCTGTAGCTCTCTATATACTGAGCTTAGGGTGACGGGAGGACGCTAGTTTGTGTCCTCCCGTTACCCTTAGGAGAACTATGGGGAAAAGCCCCGACCCCATAGTTCTCCTTTAAATATCATGCTTGTGGGATGCTCTGAACCTGCCTGGAAGGGGCTCATCTGCGATATGTATACAACCTGTGACGGACCCCCGTACTCAGGATGAGTATGTCCGCCGCTGTCTTCTTCCTTGCTGAGGAGATCTTGCAACCTGAAGATCCTTAGCTCCCAGTTTCCCCAGTCACTAGCCAAGGCTTGAGTGTAGGTGAAACAAACTCTGCTTTATTGAGAAACTGCACAAACTTTTATACAGCAAGTGATCAGATCAGAATATAATCCCATCACATCCCCCCTCCCAGACAATCGGTCTGCTCAACACCACAGGTGTCCACCTGCTAACGAACTCCAGACAGCCATAGCAGGAGCCTGGCCAGAATGTCATTGTTCTGAGCTCCCTCAGAGAACAATGGGAGATAACGAGGGATGGTGCTGATAGTCTTTCCATAACCAGGTCACACAGCATAACGCACTCAAACATAACTCAACCCCAATACACATTTATCTTATAAACTCATCACCGTGTCGTCACACAACCTATGACAGAAAAAACGGACATTTACAAAGAAAGAAATAACGTTGAAATTGCCTGGAAATGACTCCCGGCCGCTTCCTTCTGTGTGTAGACAAAGCAGCCCGGAATTCCCTGCATCTATAGCA